AATTTAAAATATATAAATTTGTTCAATAAAAAAATTAAAAAGGTTTGTAAACTGTTATTTTGTACTTAGCATATGCTTAATTAAAGCCAAAACTCAAATTTTGCGGATTTCTTTTGAATTTTAAAAATTTTGTTTATAAAATTTAAACCTAATATATGCACACTTTTAACAATGACTATATTTTTAAGATAAATCGTAACATTCACACGGAGCAGCCATTTACTGTTATTTTTCTTAGTTTTTTTTTATGTAATCGGTTACTTTCAGTAATAATATTACCGACATAAAAAAAAACAACAAAGAGTTAAGGTTTAATATAAGAGTAAAGGTGCCGATTGTAGAGTAGTAACAAAATGTGGAATACTAATGTTTTTCAGAAATTCTTAGAGACATCTACATTTTAATAGCTAAATATCATGCGTGGTAACAATTTAAGTTGTTCGATTATTTTCAGCTAATAAATATCATTTAGCGCTTTAAGGAGTAAACAGATTCTATTTGTTAACCAGCCTTGCACCCTTTCTACATCTATTAGGCTCGCGTTGATGTATTTATAATACACTTTTTCCAGTTTAGGATGTTGAATGCTAGATCTTCTTGACTCATTTCATGGGTTTTGCTTGAGTTTCTGTTTATATGACTAGAGAACACATTCTATTATCTCCTAATGATGGTACAGCTGTAAAACTGAGTTTTATGGTTCTGAGGCCGGCTGGTAGATTTTCTGAACTCTGTGATAGCTCTCAGAGAAGCTAATTTCATCAGCAGCTGTTTCTATATATAAATATCACAGTACTAACAGTGCCATGTTGCGCATGGATGGTGTCCTTCATTGTACTATCGATAAGCATTGTTAAGACCACATTTGAGCCTTTTGTTTCGGCTTAGACCTTAATAATAAAAATAAGGCGATTGCTTGGACTTTTAGATAGTGTACTAGGTACTATCTGTTCTTTGCAACAAATTCAAAAATAGCTCAAGTATCAAAAACTGTAAAACATAAAAAAAAACCATTGTCATCACCAAATTCGCTAAATCTATCATTCACTAATATTCGTGGTCTTCGAAATAAATTTTCTTCTGATGAGTCTTATCTTTTGCAAAGTTCACCAGACCTACTTGCTTTTTGCATGACTAATTTAATTTCCTTTGTCTCATCTTGTGATCTTAATAATTATGATTAACTTCCTTTAATTCGTAAAGACTCCAATAGTCACATGCTTGGCCTGGGGATTTACATTTGTAAGAATTCACCCATTTTTCGGGAAACAAGGCTTGAATCCACAGACTATTCTTTTATGTGTTTTTGTTTAGCACCACTTCACCCTATTGCTTTTCTCTTTGTTCTATATTGCTCTCCCTCATCTCAAGACTGAACTCTTATTGATATTAATTCTGATCAAAATAAACTCGCCCTTTCGCTTTATCCTTTTGCCAATATCGTTGTTGTTGGTGACTTTAATGCTCAACACACTGAATGGCTTGGTTATAGTGTTAGTGACTCTGCAGCCCACAATTTTTTCTCAATCTTTAACACAAATACTCAACTTTCCAACTCACTTTCCAGACAATCCAAATTTATTTATCTTTTCTACTCAACTTGTTTCTTGTTTTTGATCCTAGTCAGTGCTCAGTTTTTCTACAATTACCCTTAGGCGCTTATGATTTTGGTTTGATCTCTTTAAAACTTTTATTTCATTCTTCTTCATCATCAGAATCCTTTTATCATCTTAACTCTTACAAGTACCTAAAAGCTGACTGGCACCCTTTCCGTGATTTTCTCCGTGACAGCGCTTGGGTTGAAATCTTTTGTTTTCCAAAAGACAGATGTGCTTCTTATGTAACTTCTTGGACTCAGGCTGGCATGTAATCTTTTATTATGGCTGCAACTTTCAATCGTAACTATAACTTCCATAAATAGTGCCAAAACAATTCTTTAGAAAACAGACGACTGTTTGCTATTGTTAGAACAATTATAAAAAGGTTTTGTCTAAAACCAAATCCCGCGATCTAAAACCAAATCTCAGGTTATTCTCCTCTCTTATCTTCAATCTTATCTTTTGATTCCACTTATCACATTCTACATGATATAGCCGACAAACAGGTTTCTCCATTACATTCCGTATCTAAAGTAACTTCCTGCTCAGACTCTTTTACAATTTGTGGTCCGGACAACATACCTGTTACAGTCTTGCAGTAGTGCTCTCCAGAGCTGTCGTCTATACTTTCAAAACAATTTAACGAGCCCTTATCAGAGTTTTGTTTTCCATCCTGCTGGAAAGCGGAATCTGTTATCCCTGCTTTCAAAAACTCTGGAGAGCGATCTAACACGTCTAACTACCGTCCCATTAGTATTCTTATCATAAACAAGGTTCTTGAGTCTTTAATTAACAAACACTTACTCTCTCATCTTAAATCTAATAACTTTCTGATCATTAATAAGGATTTCAGTCTTCTTGTTCTGTTGTTGATTTATTAACGGTAATAACTGATAGGTTTAATCGTGCATAAGATAGATGTGGAGAGTTTAAGGTTATTGCTCTCGACATTTCTAAAGCCTCAATAAGCTTTCTTCTTACGGTGTATCTGGCAACACCTATAAGATTATTGAACCCTTCCTCACCAATCGTAATATAAAAGTTGTCCCAGAACTCTTCTTCATATCCTGTAACTTCAGGGGTTCCTCAAGATTCTTTCTTTGTCCTATACTCTTTTTAATTTATATTAACAATCTTTCAGAAATTCTCACATCTAAGGCGGCATTGTTCGCTGATGATACTACCGTTTGTTCTTGTCTTGATGAGAAACCAACACCTTTTGATTGCCTGGAGGAGGCAGTCGTGACTAAAAAGGATTTCATTTCTGCTACAGCATGGGGTCTTAGTGGCTGGTGAAGTTTAATTCAGATAAAAATCAATTTTTCCAGCTTATCGATATCGCATCAATCTATATTTTCCTAAATTTATGAACGGTAAAGTTGTCGATGAGTCATCTACCCATCATCTTCTAGGATTAACTCTTACTTCCAATCTTCCTTGGAAACCATATATTAAATCCATTTCAAATTTAGCATCTGCTAAATTTGCGTTTCATTATCATACTCGCCATTTTCTTCACTTCGGATTCGATTCTTAATCTCTACAATCATCAAATCCATATGCAATGATTTTTGGATCTTTAAATAATGTCTTTTCTCGTTAATCCCCATGATCGGTTTAAATTTGGACAATTTTAAATAGAGTTTTCTTAAAAACCACTTAATCAATCAAAAATTCAATAAAAAAAAATTCAAAACATTAAAGAACCAAAAGAGCGGTATCAATTTTTCTGCTAAAACATAAGTTTTTGCTGAAAAATTTGATACCGCATTTTTGCTGAACATCTCATGCCGCTTATGATTATATAATATTATATTTATGACCATTGATGATGATCATTATTATACTTATGACCATTAATGATGACCATTTTTATACTTATGACCATTAATGATGATCATTATTATACTTATGACCATTAATGATGATCATTATTATACTTATGACCATTAATGATGATCATTATTATACTTATGACCATTAATGATGATCATTGTTATACTTATGACCATTAATGATGATCATTATTATACTTATGACCATTAATGATGATCATTATCATACTTATGACCATTAATGATGATCATTATTATACTTATGACCATTAATGATGATCATTATTATACTTATGACCATTAATGATGATCATTACTATACTTATGACCATTAATGATGATCATTATTACACTTATGACCATTAATGATGATCATTATTATACTTATGACCATTAATGATGATCATTATTACACTTATGACCATTAATGATGATCATTATTATACTTATGACCATTAATGATGATCATTATCTAAATCATCTATAATGATCATTGTCTATAAACGTGGAGAGAAGTCAGAAGTCATCAAAAAACGCCAATAAAACAATTTTGTTTTAAGATCGCTATATCAACGTCGTAATAACGTTGTTTTATGTCTCTGACAAAAATCCAATGTAAAACCGACTTTTTTTTATAGTTTGTTTAAATTACAGTTTAAAAAGTGCTAAAAGTACTAAATATAAAAAGAAATTGTAGAAATACCGTTGATTCTTTAATGCCAATTTAGCAGCAGATCACAATGGATGATATTTTCGTCCTCCTTTTAATTTCTTGTTTGTGTAATCTCTTATTTTCAATGTATCTATCATTAATTTAGTCAGCTGTGCCTTATTGACACCTTGCAAAAATCTATTTTTATTTTTTACAAAGCGTACAATTGAATTCTCTTCCTCTTCTAATAATATAGAGCAGTATTGACGTTCTTTTCCTGTTTGTATTTTACCATACAGACGTCGATTTATTGTCTCTTGATCTTTAATCAATGAGAAAAGTCCTGATTTTAGGGCACAGTGTCCTATTACATTGTTATCTTTGCACCATGCTACAGCTTCTACCCAGCAAACATGTCAGCGTTGAATCAACGTTGAAAACCGGTCGCAAAAGATGTTGCGGAAACGTTGACAAAGTAATCGATTTTGCAAAGATATGTGACGTTGTTAAAGAGACGTTCATTAAACGTTGTAGCGTAACGTTGAAAAAACGTTACTAAAAGACGTTACAAAAATGTCTCAACTAAAAGTTGAAAAAGCGTTACTTAAAAAGCGTTGCATAGGCGCCGCAACTTAACGTTGAAAAAACGTTACTTGAAAAGCGTTACTTTAACGTTGTTAAAGCAGTTGATTTTGCAAGGATTTGTAACGTTGGTAGTAAAACGTTGATTTAACGTGACTCAAAGACGTCGAGTAAAGGTTGAAATATAACGTTAAATTAACGCTCAAACGCGCTGGAGAAATTTTGGCAAAATATTATTAAACGTGATTAAACTTGGTTATAATGTATATAGAATTTGCAAATAAAACAAAATTGTATGTTGAACTCTGCACTTGCAATATTTCCAAAGTCGATTTTTATACAAATAGTAATATACAATGAAAAACATAAAAAATATACAATTTATTTATATAAAATTTACAATTTATAGATAAAAATAAAAACATCTTTTTTGAGATTTATGTGTGTGAGTGAATTTACAGGAATTACGTGTGTAAGTAAAATTTGTATGTGAGTGGATTTACAGGATATCGTATCGATAAGCCAGGATATCATTGAGATACAGAATCTAAATCAAAAAATAAAACTTGTATCATTATCAATCTGAAAGCAAATGTTTAAAAAATGTTATTGAATTAGTATGATTATTATTAATTTTAAAAAATAAAAATAAATATATATATAAATTATATATATATAAATTATATATATATAAATTATATATATATAAATTATATATATATAAATTATATATATATAAATTATATATATATAAATTATATATATATATATATATATATATATATATATATATATATATATATATATATATATATATATATATATATATATATATATATATATATATATATATTGTTATAGTCGTAATAGCATAAAATAAGTAATTGTTTTTAAAAATAACACAACGTTTTTTATTCTTGAAATGTTTTGTAGTAAATAACTGGGGTTGATATTTGACTGGGGCCGGGGCCGGGTTTGATAAAATATAGCCGGGGCCAGGGCCGGGTATGAGACCAGGCTGCATAAACATTTATACATCCTAAAGTATATTTTTTAAATTTAAATTCATGCTATATTTTGTATATATATGCATATATGAACATCATTGTGATCAACATGATCATCATAATCATCATAACCATCATCATCATCATAATCATCATGATCATCAACAGCATAAAAGCGGAAAGCTTGACAATGATAATAAAAACTATGTTGATGTTGTTGATCGTCATCATGATAATCATCATCATCTTTATTATGGCACTATGTAAAGCACACTCTTCAAATTTTCTTACATCTACCACAATCATTTTATACTGAAGCTGCTACCACTCTACATGTTAATACCTGAATTACTTTAACTTTTTCTAAAAAATACTACACTATATAAATACTAAAGTTTATACAACAATGAAAGGATATTGTATGCCAGCATTTAAACAAATAGCAAACAAATATGCTTATATCCATAATATGTGTGCAAAAAGTGCATCTTGGAAGCTTATATTGCTTCTGGAATAAAAGTTTGGAAGCTTTTATTACTTCTCTTCAGTTTTAAATCAAGCCTCATTCTACTCTACATCTTTCAACATTAACTATGTTTTTCAGTTTTTTTATAAGAACATCTCTCTTAAGAAAAAATTGTCCTTATTATTATTGCAATAAGCTAATGTATAAATAAAGTCTTGTCTGATGTAAATTTCTGTTATTCTCAGTTTACTAAACCTTATATCTTATCTTAGATGTTGATTCTAGAGACTTTTTGTTAGTTTTTAACAGTGTTATTAACAAAAGTAAGTCTGACGTTTAATCTCTATCTTATGGGTCTCATTTTTTTACTTTACCCCAGAGTAAAACAGAGCTATTTACAAGGAAATCTATATATTTATATATAGTATAGCCGTAATATTTAAAGAATTTAACGGCCATACTCTTCCTGACAGTAAAATATTTTTGCTAAACTTTCAATTAATCCATTGTTAAACATCGAAATTACTCTAGCTTCCAATACTAAAACTAATTCTCAATTAAACACATCTACAATGCGTGCTTCAGACCAGATTTCCATCATAGTCTTAAAAAAGTGTTCTCCAGAACTATATACAACTTTTGCTAAACTTTAAAAAAGTGCTAAATACGTGGTTCCTATTTTTCAAATCTCTAGAAAACATTTTGACGTCTCCAAGTATCCTACGATTCTTCTTCACTTTGTCAATAGTTTCTTATAATTTTCAATGAAAAGGTTTTGAGGTAATTAAATTACTTCTTTCTAACTACAGTAGTGAAGTTATTCTTAAAGGCTTACCCTCTTTACTTCAAATAAATTTAAAATTCTATATTTGTTCCTGTAATATTTTTTATCCTGAATAACAATCATAATGAAATCTAAAGTGGCTCTATTTGCTGATGACTCCACTTTATACTTTTGTGTGACAATAAATCTTTACTTTTTAAGTGCTTAGAACAAGCAGCAAAGATTAAATCTGATCTCTCTTCTGTAATAACCTAAGGCTTGCTGTGTCTTATGGATTTAAATTCTGGACTCAAAATCCACAATTTTTGTTAGACAACAAAATTCATTTATTTGCTACATTAAAATATTGCAATATTGTTGGTATTCCTATATTGACAAATAAAAACCCTATAATTATTATAATATATTATATAATAATAACAATAATAAATATATATATATATATATATATATATATATATATATATATATATATATATATATATATATATATATATATATATATATATATATATATATATATATATATATATATATATATACATACATATATATATATATATATATATATATATATATATATATATATATATATATATATACATAAATATATATACATAAATATATACACACACACACACACACACTATATATATATATATATATATATATATATATATATATATATATATATATATATATATATACATATAAATTTTGCAATTAAAAATACTCATGTATCCATAATTAATTAACTAAATAAAACTTACTTCAATAGGTGTAACTATAAATCATCAATTTAAATCATATTATGTACTTTGTTCATAAGATGCAAACCAGTTAAAACCAAATCATTCCTCGATCTTTGTTTCACCAGAACTTTACTAAATAAATTTATACTGGTAATCAAACTACCACAAGTCAAAAAATTTTAACAGTATTATTGAAATCAGCTTTGAACAATAGTTAATATTAGATTTTTTTCTATTCTTTACAATATAAAAAAACAAAGAAAAGTTAAATAAGAAGAGAAACAAAATTATTCACAAACATAACTACTTACATTCTTCTTTGAAGTCCTCTTTAGTTGTGAAATTAAATCCTGCACATACTTCTTTATCTATTAGTAATGATTTAGTAAAATAAATATAAACAAAATTATGTAAAAACAAAAATGTAGAATAAGTGTAAACAGATTACAATATATATCTAGGCAGTAATAATACCATAAACAGATTCAAAATATTACTTATTCCGAAAAAAAATAAAATAGTTTATTTGATATAATACTTCACTGTTAATATAAAACTATAATAGCATTAATTACTGTAAAATTTAATGACCTCCAGTTACATTAACTCTTTTAAGTCTAAGCTTGTTGCAGGAGTCAATGGTTGAAAAATTATCTTTTTTCGAACAAGATGGAACAACTGCCTCTGCTTCAAACCTAATGTATATGTAAATAATGTATATATAAATCTTTATATATACATTATTTACACACACACACACACACACACACACACACACATATATATATATATATATATATATATATATATATATATATATATATATATATATATATATATATATATATATATATATATATATATATATATATATATATATATATATATATATATATATATATATATGTATGTATGTATGTATAAGTGATAATTTTTAAATAAATTAAAAAATTTATTCTTTTAACAAACTTAATTTTGTCTGACTTATATGTTTTAATTATTTTGATAATATTTTATAAATGTGAATCGTATTAAAACTAAGTACTATTTCTAACTAAGAAATAAATTTTTAAAAAAATTGAGCATTTTATTAAACTCGTCAACTTAAAACAAAATAAAACATTGACAAAAATAAGCTAAATAAATCGAATTTACCCTGAGATTTATGTACTTTATATACATTTTGATATAAAATCTAAAAGTTTTAAATTAGTCGCAATAAAATAGGCTATAAAATGTAACTTTATTAAACAATTTTTTATACCATATGCATGCATTTTATCAAGTTTTCCTTGCCTTTCCATTACGGCAAATTATTTTTGTAATGGCTAGTTATTGAGACAATAATTTTTAATGTGCCACTTCCTCAACATTGTCAAAACAACGTTTTATTAACGTTGGCAAAGTAACACTTTTTCAACGTTTTTTAATTACCACATTTTCAACTAACGTTGAAATAACGTTGAATAAGTGTTGTTTTTCAAATAGTTTAAATTCGTTGAAAAAGCAGCTAATGTCTAACGTTGATAAACCATTACCTTTGCGACGTTTTTACAGTGATTATTTGCGTACTTATTTTCAACATTTAATAAACGCATTTTTTTGAGAAGATAAGATACGTTTAAATTTAAACGCTTATTCAACGTTGAAAATGTAACGTTTAAAAAGCGGTTTGTTTTTAACATTGATAAAGAATATACTTCGAAACGTTTTTAAAGTGACTTTTTGCGTAAGTTGATTCCACGTTGAATAAACGTTTTATTTTGAGAGGCTAAATTACGTTACAATTTCAACGCTTATTCAACGTTTCAATTTACCGCGATTTAGTATACAAAAACAGACATTGATTCAACGTTGAAAGCACGTTGTTTTTGTCACTGTAACGCTTTTTCTACGCTGCGACTGGTTTTCAACGTTGATTCAACGCTTACATGTTTGCTGGGTACCAACTTTTTATTTTTTACATTTGTGTGTTTCCTTGCAACAACTGCTTCTGATTTATTATTTGGGTTTATAGATCTTGTTCCAAAACGCAAGGTAAACTTTGTTGTCATTTTAAAAATATTTTAAATATTTATTACTGTATAACAAATAAAAGTATATATACACGTTGCTTTGACATTTATTCAATACATATGCAATTAAATCTAATAAATCTGCCACCTGTGGTATATGTATAACAAGAATAAATAATAGTTTTATGCAATTTTAAGATAAGTTATTGGATATAAAGAAAAAACTAATGTGGTTTTTCGGGTGCATGTGATATGGTTTTTGTAGTGAAAAACATACTAACAAAAAAATTAAGTCTGCAATCATATATACAGTCAACTCAGAATATAATATAACTACCACAAACCAAATCTTGAAGCTAAAACTTGTTTAGATAAAGTTCTATTAGCGTTTTTGTTAATGTGGTTTTTGAGGTGCGCATTGAAAAAACAATGTCTTTTTGACATAATAAAAAAAAGTAACCAATAATAAATAATTATCAGCAACATTCAGGAAAGAACCTTTTATAGTGGTAGTAATGAAAAATATTAAGAAAATTTACAAATATATTGTCTAGAAAAAAATACAAGTATGCCATCATTTATGTGGTTTTTGCGGTGCGTCTACCTGTAGGATTGACATCGGGTTCTCTCTGAATCACGCATATACAAAAAAAAGTGAGAATATGATTTTTAGTTATATTTTACATTAAAACTTAAAATGGTCATTCCTTTTATATAACATTTTCTAAGAACAAACTAAAGTTAATTAACAAATTTAAAACCTTGTTCCTTCTTATAGCCAAATATTTTGTTTAAATAATCACATGACATAATTTAAAAAAGTTGAAACCAATAAGCCTTTTATAACTTTTATGTCTTTTACAAATTAAAAACCTTTATATACTAACTTTATAAACTTTTGCTTTGAGGAAACTAATTTGAGCAAACGAGTTCTCTGTCTCGTTTGAAAAATGCTTAACACTTCACTTATGATAAGTTGGGAGGTTTAAGCGCTTATTCTTTGATTGCTAATGGTAACATGATCTCTGACAGAGATTGTGTTACTATTCTTTATTTAAATTTTTTATGACTTTCAAAAACGTTGCGTTATCTTGTAGCGCTGCTAATTATATTCGTTCTCTTCTTTTCACTTGGGTTGCTATCAAAAAATTTATTTCCCTCATTCGAATACTTTTGTTTCCAAATTGATGGATATTTTATCTGAAGTGTCTCCCTTGAGCAACATAATGAGTCATATTAGAGCCATACTCGCGAATATCTTTATAAATTTATTTTCTTCTATCAAATATTCTGAAACTGTTAATTTTGCAGATGATAACATGTATATTATAGTACTTAATGTTTAGAAAATACATTAAATACTTTTTTTTTTAGGTAAAACAATTAACGCTTTGCAAGTTTACTTTAGCTCTTTTGCCAATAAAAATATTTTTAGAACAGTAGGGGAAGTGGGGCATAACCGACCCCGAAACGTTTGAATTAATGTTATATAAAAATAAAAGCGAAATGTGTCTTTTTAGCAGTTTATTTCAATAACCACATTATTAAGCTTTAAATTGCTGCAATTAAAAAAAAAAAGACGGTTTTTGAAAATGTTGTTACGCAAAAAGTACACTTAGTGAAAAAAATGGTTTTGCCCCCATTTTGATGCAAACTGCACCCTCATAAAAATCGTTAAAGCTACACTTTTCATGGTACATTTAAAAAAAAATTAAGAATTGCACAATTTATATACCTACAAAATATAATAATATAATACTCATCAGATATACATAAATATAACAAAGTATCAATTTATACTCTTAGCTTTATATTTTAATTCAAAACTCATTTATAATAATTAAATTAAAAAAAAGCGAAATATAATTTCCATTATCTCAAAACAAAACTATTTCTATTCAAGTTTTTACATGAACGCATTCCAGTGCGTGACGATTGTATATACTGTTATTCGTAATTACCTAATTTTGATATGTTGATATCAAAAATGGTTTTCACTTGATGAAATAAAGCTGATAACACATATCTTTAACAGTAAAATCAAGTATTAACTAATCTTCAAAAGTAGGTTTGGAAAAAAAAAACTAAACAAAATAAACATTATTATGTACAACTTCTCAGAAACGTATCAGACGCTTTTTGTGACATAAGCGAAATGAAGGAAACTGTTTTATCAACGCGTTGTATGTTTTTTGCCATATTAGATAACATTTTCGAAGATTGAATTTGTGAAGATGAAGATTGAATTTGTGGAGATGAAGATTAAATTTGTGAAGATGAAGATTGAATTTTTAAAAATTCAATCTTTAACATCACAAATTCAATCTTTATCTGCACGAATTCATCTAGCAAGATCATGCAATCTTATAGGCAACTGCTTTTATATTATTGGTAAATTTGTTGCAAACATTAGCAGCTATTGGCATCGACTAAAATCATAGTATTTGTGAGCAATTTGAATCCAATATTTCCATGATGCAATATTCTTATAATTTAGATGTGCTCGGGTTTGTTAAAATCTTCCTGAGCTACTTTCAGATGCGTCAATCTCATGTTTATTCCTACAAACAAAGGGTTTTACAAATAAAAACAAACATAAAGCTTGTTTTTATTGGAAAATATTAACCGACGCATGCAATTAACAGGCCTTGCGATGAATAAGAACTGCGCGACACATAAGCACGACGTGATTTTTGACGTCATTAAATTCTTTTTATTTGCTTTTCGTATTTATCGACATTAACTGCACCAATTTACTTAATTACCGCAAAACTACTTTAAATCGTTTATGTAGAAATGTTATTATTTAAAAATGTTTTGGAATGTTTCGTTTTTTAAAATGTAAAAACATTTGTTTATTTTCTCGACGTTTGTCACGTTTTGTCTATACTAAACGAATAAAAAACATTATAACTTAAATTTAAAAAAGATTATAAAATATGCTAATATTTGATTTTTTTTTTCTTAAATATGTAATTTAAAGTTTTTCAAATAATTATTTTTTCTTTTTAAAAAGTCAGCGAGTAATAAACTGAAAATTTTATAGCTAATATTTTTACAAGCGATTTTATATAATATTTATTTATTTATTTTTATTTATTTGCAAAAAGCGGTTGATAAGCACAATCACTCGTATTAATAAAAAACTTAAACGAACGTTTTGAATAATTTTTAATGTTAACAAGGAATTTTATTTCTAGTAAAATAAAATAAAATGTTAGAATAAAAATCTTATAGGTATAAAAGAAATATTTCAGCGAAAAAATTATTCTTAAAAATTATTATTAAAAATTATTCGAAAAACTATTGACGTTCTATTTTTCAGCAGCTGTTTTTGAGCACGCTTCGTTGAGTTTCGGTAACTTTTAACATAAAAGCGATCGTTATTATTTAAGTAATTTTTTTGAGTTACTTTTTACAAAAATTTTAATAACTGTACTTTTTTATTGAATCAAGTAGAATACGTTTTAATATTATTCCTTTTTTATTTTTTTATTTGCCCTCACCAATTTTTAAAATGTTTCCTCGAAATTACTCTTAAATACTTTAAATACATCTAACAGCTAATAAATATTTTTAAATCTATGGAATAATTTTAAAACCTAACAAACCCCCGTAAAATAATTATTTAAGTTTAAAATCTAAAACTAAAAGAAAGTATTTTTGTTCAATTTTATCGACAACTTTG